AGTGGATTTTTATCATTTCGGTAGGTAGGTATCCAACTCGCAGCTCTCTCCCTTTCCATCTCTGCTGCTTCAACATTTTCTTTACCGAACGACATTGTGACGATTGAAATCAATCCGACTTCCGGACAAGACCTGTAATCAAACGATGTCGTACGATGAGGACGAGGAGGCGTTCGAGCACACGCTCCTCGTCGTTCGCGAGGTCTCCGTGTTCAAGATCCCTCCCCGCCCCACCAGCGGCGGCTACAAGTGCGGAGAGTGGCTCCAGTCAGATAAGATCTGGACCGGACGCCTCCGGGTCGTCTCCTGCAACTCGCGCTGCGAGATCCGCCTCGAGGATCCCAGCTCCGGCGACCTCTTCGCCGCCTGCTTCGTCAACCCGGGCCAGAGGGAGATCGCCGTCGAGCCGGCGCTGGACTCATCCAGGTACTTCGTGCTGAGGATCGAGGACGGACGTGGGAAGCACGCGTTCATAGGGCTGGGGTTCAATGAGAGGAACGAGGCGTTCGATTTCAATGTGGCGCTGTCGGATCACGAGAAGTACGTGAAGAGGGAGGTGGAGAAGGAGGCGGGAGGCGACGGCGCCGGGGAAGGTGGAGAGGATGGGCAGATCGATATTCATCCCGCCGTGCACCATAGACTTAAGGTGATTTTATCTGCTTCTCTTTTTCAACGTTGAAGACCCATCTGTTACATTATTCTTGTCCTCTAATAATAGCTTTGAATGATACGTAATTTATGTTGATCCTTATTTCTACCTTCGAAATCAATCTCTTGTTTTATGGTTATAGTTCTGCAGAAAGTTTTAGGTATGATCTTTCGAAAGCCTGATAAATCTGAGGTTTGATATTGCAGGATTCTTGTGAAGCTTATTTAGAAAGATTGAAGTTTCAATTACGATGATTTACTTTTACACTAGTCTTTGCTTCAGCTGTCTATTACTACACATAGTGAGTGAGCCTTCATATCAGTTTCTAGTTTTGATGGATCCTTTTGGGTAGGTTATCAAGTTTGGGCCTGTGATATTCGATGTTGCAGTGATTGCTGAAATAAATATTGTCCTAGTGATGATTTTTTTGATAATTTTTGAATGGTGATGGTTCTCTTTTTTTAACTGTTTTGTTATCTTATCGTCGTAATTAAAGTTTCCATTTTTGTTCATCATATTGAAATGTGTTAACTTACTTTCTTCTTTTCTTCATCTCGCTTAACCACGGTTATCTTCAATTTGTCAAATTTTCCTCAACCTATAACGAAATCGAACTAACTTCTCCACTTTACGCAATCCTTAGGAAGGTGAAACAATTCGAATAAATGTAAAGAATAAGCCGTCTAGTGGGGCAGGCATGCTATCTGCTGCTGGAAAATCCAAAACTTTAGGCCTTGCTTCACCACCAAGCACGGCCATGAAAATAAGGTCCCCTCTTCCTCCTCCGCCCAATGATCCTGCTGCTGCTAGAATGACTTCAACCAATCATGGTGGTGGTTTGAACAGAGGCAAAGATAACTCGAGCAACTCCAGTGATTTTCTTTCAGATCTTTCTCAACTCAAGGTATGTCGCGTAACAGATTTTGTTTTCTAAACTAGAACCATATATTGTCTATAGTTTTTTTTTCTCTACATATCACTCCCAAAAGTTCGCAGTTGGTTTTTTCTGAGTATAAGCATTATCATTATTCCACAAGTATTGTGATCTATCAATGCTTGTGAATTATGAATATATTGGTAATGATTAATGAATACCTTTGGTAGGTAACTTACCATTAATTTGGAAAAGATGACGAAAATTCAGACAATTTGTTCGGATTTGTTTACTGATTTAATTTGGAAAAGACAATGAGCATCTAGGTCTGCCTGTCCTCTTCCAGTAAAATTTTCTTTTTATGCATATGGCAAGATCTTAATAACAATTTGCAATATTAACTTTTGTTTGATTGCTGCATGTCCATAAGTGGTACGTACATAAAGTTTCTAACTACATTCCTGAAGTTTTAATGTGGGAGTAATTTAGCGTGGACGTTTCAAGAAGTCGACCACTTGTTACGTCATCTTCATCGACAACCCCATTGTTCTGCATGGGATGAATCATCTTATGTATTGTTGTGTGTATAATTGGTGGGTTTATTTTTGACACCTTCGGCCACGTCCAAAATATTGAGATTTTTTTTTT